AAAAAAAAAAAAAAAAAAAAACCGTAGAAGCCGTCACCCCCATCCCCAACTCTGTCAAGCACGAACCTCTTCCTCTTTACAACCAAAGAAAACCCTAGCCGCTCTTATTCCCCTTATCCTATCCGAATCGAACCCCCTCCAGAATACCCAAAAATTATTCGCCCCAAAAATCCTCACTCATTCACACACTCGCTGATTTCTCTCTTCATCCACGATTTCTTCACAAAGCAGTCTCCGAAAAAATAATGATTCAAAAATAGCTTTCCAAATTCAACTCTGAAATTTTTAGATCTGGTCCGATTTCTGTTGCATTACTTCTACAACTCCTGGGTGTTCGAGTTTGATTTCGATTTCAGAAATTGAAGCTGCATTTTGTTGATTCGGTTTTCGCTGATCTCCAGCTTTCCCTTCGCCTTTATTTGGTTATTCAAGTTTGTCTCTACTGCTGTTTAGAGGTATTTATCTCAATCTCGAAATGTAATCGTTGTTTGGACATCCATGTGCTATAAATTTGCTGAAATTTGTTTGTGTGTATATGGTGGAATTTTTCTCTGATGTTTTCTGTTGGTTCACTGTATTTGTTTTTTTTATTTTATTTTAGTTTCAGCGCGAAATGAGATATTGTCTATGCTAATATAGAACCATGTTTATTCTCTTATGCATCTGTTTGGTATTGTTGGATACTATGGCTTTGATTTCTCAGTTTCCACTTCTTCCTTTAATATATAATGGTGCTGGGTAAAAGAATGTATGTCAGACGCAAATGAATTAGTGTGTTTGATATGGATATTGATAGTTGAGGTTAGCTGCTTTTGCTGCTATGAGCTTACTTCTTGAGTATTTGTATGACTATGCTTCCACCGACCACTACTTGTAGCTGGCCCATAAAGAGGTGATCAATTTATTTTTCCACCTATAGGAAATGTCAATGATTTGTTCTTTGTGTAGTTTTGTAATTAGCCATCATCTGTTTCTTGCTTACCTTTTGAAATGCTTGGAGCTTTTAAAGACATTCCTCTGGCACCCCTGAATGAGTCATCCTAAAGAATGCCAATGCATATGTTTTCTGCTTGCAACTTCTTTACTTTTAATTGATCAGATCTGTACAAGTTGATGGACAATGTCAAATTCTATACTTGCAAAATATCTGCATTGATCTCTTTTTTCCTTTTTCTAATCTGTACTCATCAGAAGTGTGTAAAGCTGCAGAGATATGGCGATGTTAATTGCGGCACGTCGATTATCAGCTGGATCAGCTTTATCAGATTCACTGCGTTATACCTCTTGCTGGCGGTTTTTCTCTACCTCTTTCAGGGAGGAAAAAGACACATTTGGTCCCATTCTCGTTCCATCTGACAAGTTCGTGCTTTCCTTTTCTCTCTATTTTTTTCCTTTATTCAGTATGCTTCCCCCTTTTCACATGTTTAATATTTTACCTGAGCTCTTTACATGTTCTTGTCGTGTTAATCTGAAATTTTGAAAAGCATAGTCAAATCGAAAAATGAATATAGAAGGAGGATCATAGTAAGTTGACAGTCAATATAAAATAATTATCAAACTGTTGAAATAAATGGGAACGAGTGTTCGTATACTCAAGCCAAATTAATATAGGATTGAGCCATTGGCGATTGAATATTGAATGATTAATTGTGTGCTAAAGTCCTTTAGGGTTTTATGCTGTTCTAAGGGTTTGTCCTTGTTTCTAGTGAGAAAGTAGGTTGCAAAGAGATTAACCAATTTTTTTTTTTTTTAAAAATAATGGGTGCGTTTTGTCAGCTTGCACCACCTCGACTTAGTCAGCTATCTGTGACCTTCCACCAGTGCATACACAAATAATTTTGTCCATCAAGACTTAAACAT